AGCTGAATGGCATGGTTTAAACGTTCAATTCGCGTTCAAGTCAATTGAATTCAACTGACTTGATCAATTGGCTTGCCCTGTCTAAACCCAGCTTAACGGCTGGCAGCAGTCACTTCATGTCTGCCATCGGTGAAGATAAATAAGAGATAGCATTGTTATACATTCTTTTTCAAAGAAAAAGAGGTGCAACGGAAACATTATTGCATCGATTCAACTCTCAGTTTCACGCGTGATATTGAGAGCGTATGAGAGCGGAAAATAGTAATTTGATAATGATTATGCCATCACTGCAGCTAACAAACACATATTTTGCCGATATATCAGCAAAAGTAAATGCCGAGCTAATCGGCTGTTGGAGATTTTACCGAGCTAGATTGAGTGTGATAAGATTTGTATTTTGAAAAATGCAAACTGACAGCACAAATCACAAATCACAAATTGTACTGACCTATTGCGGATTCGATCCTTATTTTCAATCGAAACGACCTTTAATTTTTATTTTCGATATTTTGATCATCCCAAATAACTCAACGAATTATTTTTTTTATTTGCTCTGTTCATGAATGTCAACTTTGCTAACCTTTACTACCAATTTTTTGTTCCTACCGCCCGGCAAATCATGAATAGTTCTAACCTTGCCCACTAGTCCGTCACATCCAGCGCGGAGGCATTTTAATAGCCCGCACGGCCAAATCGAGCGCGACATTCCTAATGAACAGGATCGTAAAAGTGAATTTAATGTGATACCCCTCGCTCCACCCCCTCCTCCTCCGCCAACCCCCCCAGCACACATACACATACCACTCATCACACTTTTCATCACTGCTAATCGCCCTCGGCATCAATTTAGATCACTTTGATCGTCGCGTAAATGTTGCAAATGATGCGCGGCGGCACGCTTGTATGGAACACCCCTCGTCTCGTCCCACCCCGCTTTGTCCACATAGAAATGGAGTCCTACGAAGACAAATCGTAGCAACCCACGCGTCAGGGTGGGGACCTACTTTTCCCATTTCATTCATGTTCATTCTCGGAAAGCCGGCCCGGCGCGGGTGTAAATCTACATTTGCAATCGATCTCCACCACCACCGCCGCTCGCAGCCTACTTGGATATGCGATGGACACACGCACGCACCTCCGTCCGTTTGTCATTGGGAAGACGATCCGCCGAACCGGACGAGAACGAGTTACGCCGCGTGTCTCTATGAAGACAAAAAAAAATCTTTCGTTTTGGGAGAGACCCCGTAGATGTTTGGACAGTTGTGTCCAACGGACCCGATGGAAGTTTGGAAAATATTTACCCAAACATTTGGAAAACAAATTTTCAAACTGACCATCATAGGTGGATCATCAATGGGCAAAAGGGCATTCCGTTAACTATGTTGAAGTTGTCATTCGTGTTATTTTTTGCCATTGACAGACAGACAAACGGAGACGACCATGGGACCAGTGATGCCAGATCTACGGGTATAAAAAAAAATAGAAACTATTTTTTGAACTAAACTGTGTTTGATAATTGGTAGTATTATTAAAGTGTCAAAGATGCAAAAAAGAGGCTGTCCACTTTGTTCGTGTACAAATTCCCGTAGATGTGGCATCGCTGCATGGGGGACAGTCAGTTAGTTGGTTAGTGAGAATGAAGGAAGCTGTTAAAACGCCTTCATTCATTATGGCAACTATTATTAGTTTTCATAGAAACATGGTCCACTTAGTGTGCCGCAGCAGCTGGTCTGGATATCTACTGTTGATGGCTATTCATTCTTGTCGACAGTCTATCCAGTCGCCCCGAAGAGCGCGAGCGAGGCAGTGGAAGAGGAAGATAGATGAATGAAAGTGATCTCTTTAGAGGTGACGGCATGGCCTGCTGTGCAACGGACGACGGTGGCGGCAGGGCGCATTTGTCATTCAGTAGAATAATCGTAGTAGCCAAGCCACCACCACGCCAAACGGGAGCCACTGGAAGCATAGAATAAATTAAAAGTGTCGCACCCCTCTCGCTCCTTATTTCTCCACCGATTGTCGATTTGACAGGCGTGAGAAAAGCTCGTTACTGGGTCACTTTTGCTGTGAGTGATTCGCTTCGTTCCGCTGAATGTAAAGTTTACAAAATGAAGTTGTCGTCTGAAAGCCCAACCTCAGCTTTACACGTTTACATTTGGGGATAGAATTTCAATTCCGGGGCTTTTGCGGGAGAAGGCATCCACGCCCACATGTCGATCAATCTTCTTTTCGTGGCTTCTGCTGGTCCGAAGATGGAAGGCGAGAAATCGTTGTGCGTGATTTGGGGATCTTTTCTGTTGTCGTCAAGGCTCGCAAGACGAAAAAGTTGAATATGCTTTTATGGCATTTTGCTTGGCCCAAAGCGAAGAAGTTGTTTACTTACTTTACTGCTACCGCGGACGCTTCTCTCCTCCCTTCTGTCTTAGTTTAGCATCGCAGAGGGAGTGCCCCTCGAATTTAAAGTAGGAAAAAAATGTCGTTTTGCTATTCGTGGATATCGGAAATCGCTGTAATCGAATCCTGCTTGAGATCCGAAAAAAGCTGCCTAAATGTAAAATGCGTAGCTTTATACTGTTTGCAGAAATGGATTTTTAAATCCAGCCAAGTGAAGCATTAAATACACTAGCGCACCTAGCGGTAGAACGAACGCATTTACGAGTAAAAGTCAATGCCTACTAGTAGTAGGCTACTATATGAAAGATTACTATCGGCTCGCAAAAATCGCATTTTTTCAGTTACTGTTACCGTTACGTCAAACCCCTGGCCCAAACTAGGCAAACATTGAGCCTCATCGCCACTTGATTTTAGATATAGCAGTTCTCCACTTTTGTTTTGCCGTGCAGAAAATTAGAAAAGAGTTGAAGATACAAAACATCCGCAACACTAAGAAGACGTAAGAAGGCACTTTGCAAAAATTAGCGAAGCACGATCCGGGTTCTTGCGTGTACGTCACGTTGTCACGAATAACACCGGCGAGCCGAGACCCCGTTCGCATCCGGAAACTCCGCTAATTGAAGTGTCTCTGTTGACACGAAATTGGTGTACACACTAATAACCTCAAACGTCGTTTTCCAGGAATACATTACCGCAATGGGCGGCGCCCGGAGCCTTGCTTCAATTCGATTGGGTTGGTATTGCTTTTGGCAAGTCATAAAAACGTCAAATCGGGAATCAATCTCCACCGTAAGCCTACTAAAGCCCAGCAGTGCTCTTATCGCTGTTTGTTTAGATCTTCCCCAAACAGGAATTCCGTTTCGCTTATCTTATTTGCTTTCAGAAATTACATCAAAACTGAAACTCATCTTTGCGAACGCGCGCTCGATTATCTAGCCTTCAGGTCATGTGTGCAAATTCCTTGGACCTTAGCTCATTAATCTTACCAGCCATTGGGAGTGAGTTTACTCAAAAGTTTATACGCGAAGTTCGCGTTGATTGATGAGCGAAAATTTCGCTGGTTCTTGTTGTTATTCTTGTCATCGTCGTTTGACGACGAACCGGACGGGAATCGGTTGGTTTTCAACAAGTTGCTATCAACCCAAATGGAGGTTAAGTGGTAGCGAGTAAATTTGAGTCATTCACTCTTTTTTTTCGGTTGCCAGCTTGAAATCTATTTTCACAGCTTGACGACCTACTGCCACGACGACGACGACGACGACGACGACAGTAAGTCTGGAAAGTACTCAGACGTGAACCATTTTTTGCTTCTGACAATTAGTGTGTATTAAAATCAAGCAAAAAGGATTTTCAGCAATTAGTTTTAGCGTGCATTGTTTTTTTGACAGTTAAATCTGGCTGCGTGCCGAGTGCGATCAAAGTGATCCGTGCATACTCTCAGCAAGCGCATTGTGCATTCCTGTGCATAATATGCCTTTCATTCTGATTAAACGGTTTTTATTATCGCTCGCGCACAAATGTGTGTCAATTGTATTCATTCATTACTGCACTACATTTATTTTTATGCTTTTCGCATACTCGAACGAAACCCTTTCTTTCCGCCACCGCACTTCTTCTGCGTTCCTTAGCTGCCATTCCCATTCGTGTGGGATTGCAAACATTCTGAATCATCTACTACTCGCCGTGTGCGTCGTTTCGCACCGCACACACTCAAGTTTTTTTTCTTTTCATTTCAAAGAGTTTAAATACACGATCCGAGAGCCGACGGCAGCCGCGGAGCGGAGCGTACATACCTACACAGGAAAAAAATAAAACAAACATTTTTATTATAACGCACTCGCACACTCGACTCGACCCGATCATCCCCCAGCTTCGCATCGTAGCAGGCCGGGTGAATCGTTCAAGTGCTAATGTTTGTTTTATTGTGCACTCCATCGTTTTCTCGACGCCAAGCTGGTGTTTGTAAGTCATACATGTGCGGGAGGAGACGATGAAGCGGTGCGGTTTGTTTTAATTTAAATTCGCGTTTTCTGCTTTCGAGAGCATCAAACTTACGAATTTTCGCCCACTTGACTGCGGTGACAGTTGTCAAGTTGTCCACCAGTTGTTGTTAGGATGACATTTGGGTTGACCGGACCAGTGGACCGTTGTTTACCAAACCACTTGGAATGTTTGAATTCTTGATCTTTAGGCTGCTTGGGAATGTTAGAGAAAAGGATCCGTTAATTTATTCGGATGTATTACGAATCATGTCTCAAGGGGGAAGGGCTCAGATCGCCTAGTCAGTTAAGGCACGGTATTACCAAGCTCCGGAGGCGGCGGGATCGATTAATCGATAAATTGGCAAAGCCCCCACTTTTAAATGGTGAAGGTTTCGGGAATGCTGATTGTTTTGGGTTAATTTTATTCTTAAAAAGACATCGTACGCTGAATTCAGATCACCGAAGCCGGTAGAATTTTACCGGGTTTTTGCACAGCTGACTAGATCGGTAAAATTTGCAAATGAACGTTACACGTGATAGGGGAAATGGATGTAATGTCGGCCTAAAAGCCCCTGTTGATTGCGCCCCGTCGGAAACTAAGTCACCAACTCGGTCCTTTTAAAGGGTCCCGATGAGCTGGCATCGCTTCTGTCCGTTTTAATCCGCTTCAGAGAGTTCAAGGTGGCCGTATGCGGGGATATCAGAGAGATGTTCCATCAGATTCTGATGCGGTATATGGATCAACACTGCCAACGCTTCTTCTGGTTAGAGGAAAACGAAATAGAACCCAGCTTGTACATCGTTCAGGTAATGACCTTCGGAGCCTGCTGTTCACCGAGCATCGCGCAACACGTCAAGAACACTAATGCGAAGCGTTTTGAACAGGACCACCCGGAGGCAGTCGACGCCATCATCAAGCGACACTACGTCGATGACATGCTGGTAAGCACGGAAACGGAACAGGAAACTGTGAAACTGGCCCAAGAGGTGAAGGTAATTCATGAGCGTGGCGGATTCGAGATATGAAACTGGATTTCGAACTCCAAAAGGGTTCAGGCAACGCTTAAAGGTGAAGCAACGGAGGAGAAAAACCTGAACATCGGTGAAGAAGCTACAACGGAGAAGGTGCTAGGGATGTGGTGGAACACCACGACAGATCGTTACACTTACAAAGTATCATCCCGATACGACCAAGCCTTGTTAACCGGAAGCCGTCGACCAACAAAGCGAGAAGTTCTTCGAATGCTGATGATGGTCTACGATCCGTTGGGATTTATCTCACATCTGCTAATGTTCCTGAAGGTGCTGCTGCAGGAGATTTGGAGGACAACGATCGGCTGGGATGATCCGATCCAAGATACGCAGTTCGAAAAATGGCTGACATGGTTGGCAGTGTTTCCATACATGAGTTCCGTCGAGGTTCCCCGATGCTACCGATCCTTGACATCCGTTGAAGCAGAGATTGAGATGCATACGTTCGTCGACGCCAGTGAGAATGGGTTTGCAGCGGTCGTCTACCTTCGATTCACTGAGGGAGACACGATCGAATGTGCCTTGGCGGGAGCTAAAACTAGGGTAGCTCCACTGAAGTTCCTGTCAATCCCGCGATCTGAGCTCCAAGCGGCTCTTCTTGGTGCGCGGCTTTCAGACACTATACTGTCGTCTCTGTCCATCAAGGTCTCGAAGCGGTTTTTCTGGACGGACTTCAAGGACGTGCTCTGCTGGCTAAGATCTGACCATCGGCGATACAGCCAATTTGTCGCCTTCCGGGTCAGCGAGATCCTAGAGTCGACGGAGATTAGTGAATGGCGGTGGGTTCCAACGAAGCTGAACGTGGCCGATGATGGAACAAAGTGGGCACGAACTCCAGATTTATCTACAGACAGTCGCTGGTTCAGGGGGCCAGAATTCCTTTGGCGAGAACAACAGGAGTGGCCTGTCTCACCAGGCTTCGGAAAAACTACCGACGAAGCACTGCGCCCACACTTGCTATTCCACGAATCAACAACAATCCCAGTTATCGATCCACAATACTTCTCTCGCTGGAGTCCTCTCCTTCGTCGCACAACGTACGTCCTCCGGTACGTTCACAACCTGAAGCAGTCCACCAGAAAGGAACAACGTGTCAATGGACCGCTGACTCAACAGGAACTGGTAAGTGCGGAAAACTACTTGTTCCGCCTAGCACAGTCCGAAGGTTGCGCGGACGAGATCGCCACGCTGGCAGCGGGATATCACCAAACAAGTCCACATTCGAAACAACCCACTCTTTCGTAGTGCTTTCCTGGACGAAAACGGAGTTGCCCGATTCCGAGGTCGAACGAAGGCGTGCGCATTCGTCGATCGTGATGCTGCTGAACCCATTATTCTTCCTCGTCGTCATCAAGTCACCCGACTAATCATAGCTGAGGCCCATGAGCGGTTCAACCACCAGAACCACGCAACGATTGTCAACGAGCTCCTGCAACGGTACCGCGTTCCTCGACTGAAAGCGACCTACAACGCTGTTCGGAAAGACTGTCAGCAGTGCAAGAATGACCTAGCGAAACCACTTCCTCCGATGATGAGCGACCTTTCGCAGTCACGCCTGCATGCAGTCGTCCGTATACCTACATGGGGGTGGATTATTTCGGTCCAATATTAGTCTCAGTGGGCTGACATTCCGGAAAACAGTGGGGGGTTCGCGTGACCTGTCTGACCACACGCGCTATCTACTTGCAGATCGCTCACACACTCACCACCGACTCCTGCGTTATGGCAATCCGAAACGTCATGGCTAGGAGGGGAATTCCTGCGGTGATCTTCAGCGACCGTGGGACCAACTTTCAGGCTACCAGCAAGGAACTTAAGGCGGCAATTGAGCTACGCGATCAGGACAGACTGGCCAGCGAGTTCACTACGAGTCGTACCCAGTGGACTTTTATTCCACCGGTTTCACCACACATGGGGGGAGCATGGGAACGGCTGATCCTTAGCGTAAAGCAAAATCTAGCTAAGGTGCAACCTAGCAGACTACCGACCGACGAAGTGTTGCAGAACGCGATGGTGGAGGTTGAAAATATTGTCAACTCTCGACCATTGACGGACCTTCCCGTAGACGACGACGAGTCGCCCGTGTTGACGCCCAACCACTTCTTGCTGGGGTCAGCCAACGGCCTTCGATCATAGGTTCCCTTCAACGATAGTCCCGTGTTACCAGTCACAACTTATGGCCGACATGTTCTGGAAGCAGTGGGTATGAGACTATCTACCCTGTCTTACGCGAAGGTCGAAGTGGTTCATTCCAGCGACTCCAATTACTGTCAGTGATATCGTGGTGATCGTTGACGCGAAGCTATTCAGAAACTGCTGGCCTAACGGCAGAGTTATCGCTACGCATCAGGCTCCAGACGGACAGGTACGTTGGGCGACAGTACAAACAGCGTCTGGTGGAATATACGAGCGCCCGGCCGTTTTGTTGGCTGTGCTCGACGTAGGCGTTCGGATGAATACGCTGTCGGAGGATCCAACGCGCATTCCAGGGGGGAGTGTTGATTGCGCCCCGTCGGAAACTATTCGACGCTGTACCACTGTGCACCACACCCAGCGCTGAACAAGGGATTGGAAACTTCACAAAAAAGGTGAACAGCTGCGGTGTAGGAGAAAAGGATCAATAAGGTGGCCATTGTATTGAAGTGAACGTAAACAAGTGAACTTGATTCCTCTACGGAGATTATTTACTACTAAATAAACAGTTAATTAGCCTAACTTAAAGCTAAATTTGTATAATCCTAAAGTCTAGAGTAGTGCTTAAAAAATACAAGAAACTAAATCTAGGTAAGGACAGAAGAAAGGAAGAAAAGTGAAGTTATCTTAAGCTATTGTATACTATACTAAATCTAGACAAAGGAGATCGAGAAGCGTTGAGAAATAGGCAAATGAAGTCCGGTTAATGCTAATTATCACAGTATTCCCAGTTCGTTAGCTCCAGGACATATGAACGCTATAATTGTTGTGAAAGAGTAGTACGAGGCTAGAAACACTAAAAGTAAGTCAAAACATAACCTGTAGGATCGTATTGTTTATACCCAAGGTTTCTTCCGGAGGAATTTTATAATTTTCTTTCTCTTCGTGAATAAATTGATGAAATTTGCTTCCTAGTTTCGCTGACTCCGCAACAGCCCCTTATTTGGGTTCATACATAAATTCAGCAATCGACTAAATTTTCAATAGCGACCAAAAATATCCATTAGTACCGCCCCAATGACGCGTTCACCTAGAAAAAATTGATAAATAGCAGATTTTTAGCAATTGGGGCAATCTTAGAGCCGTTTCCCCTATGCATATAAAATTAAATGCAGTTCCCTAAAAAAAAAGCCTGCACAAGCTCGGAATAAATTTACTAACTTTTCAATTTTTAATTAATTTTTAAACTTTTACCAAATAGGCCCGTAGTTCAAAATTTACCGGAGGTCTGCATTTAGATCGGTTTAACAATTGTAAAGCCAGTTTTTTCTTTAGTTTTGTTCAGGATTATTTTGAAAGATAATTGGACAGAAGGGTGAATACAGCGAAAGTTTATGAGATCGTTTTAAATTTTTAATTTTTTATTCTTGCTCATTGAAACAATTTGGACGGGGAGAGTGGGAATGCCAACTCCTTGTTGATAACATTTCGTGGATAAAGGGCGGGCTCTTCTCCCCACTCGTTTTCGTGGTACGTTACGGGATGTAAGATCTACCACCGATTCCTAGTCCTGACTACTTCAAACTAGATGAAGACTAACTAACTCATTTTTCCCTTGTTTAAAGATCATCCTCGGTCCAGGCAACCCGAGGACTTATCACTATCAACAAGGCATAAAAAGTAACAAGGACTAAGACCCAATCCTTTTTTGGCCCTTCATACAGCGACAATTTGAGGACAATCAGAGGTTATTAAACTTGATCAAGAGAAAAAGAAAAGAGGGCCCACGGCTATCGGACCTAGTTTCCGTGCTACATTGGGTGGTAGACCACTTCCATGCATCATTAGTAGTTCATATCATGATTGATCAAACAACGTTAATTTTGGCTGCCAGAAACTGCCGTTTTCAGAGAAATTTTAACTGTGAAATAGGTGATTTTTTTTTTATAAAATCACTTTACAAAGCAAATGAGGTGCTGTCAAAAGCTGTGTATTTTGATGATATAGCAAATATAAAGCAAAGGGCCCAACAGACTTCCTTGCGGAACACCTGCTGGGATGGAAAACGTGTCTGAAAGACAACCATTCAACGATACCCTAAACGACCTTTGCTGAAGGTAGTTACGAGTGATTTTAACCAGATGTAATGGGAAGTTAAAGTTACAAAGCTTGTACACAAGTCCGTCATGCCAAACATTGTCAAACGCCTTTTCAACATCTAACAAGGCCATGGCTGTGGACTTGGATACAGCCTTGTTACTTCGGATGTTATTCATCACCCTTACTAGCTGATGATTTGTGGAGTGCCCCTTCCTGAACCCGAACTGTTCCAGTAGGAGAATGTTGTGTTCCTCGACAAACTTGAGCAAACGATTGAGGATTAGTTTCTCGAATAATTTGCTCAGCGCTGAAAGGAGGCTGATCGATCTGTAGCTTGAAGCTAGCGTTGGGTCCTTCCCGGGTTTGCGGATAGGTATGATTTTTGCTACTTTCCAGATGCTTGGAAAGTAGTGCAGTTCCAAGCATCTGTTGAAGACAGCAGCCAGCAGAGAGTCAACCTTCATGCTGAGACTTTTCAACACTAGGTTGAATATTCCGTCGAACCCGGGGGCCTTCATGTTTTTGGTGCATTTCAGCGCTGAGCAAATCTGTTCCACGGTGATTCTATCCTCCGGAGGGGAGGAATCAAGGTTGAGTACGCATTGTTCATCCTGAACTTGGCAATATGCTCACCAATCGCATTTGCTTTCTCGTGAGGGGTGATTATGAGCCTATCGTCATCATATTAATCTTTAAGTGGTGCGTCTTGGGGTGCGTCTTTAGGACTTTGACAACTTTCCAGAATGGTCTGGAGCGGTCGAGCAGATTCTGGACGAGCCGCCCGAAACTTTCATTCCGGAGTGAGACCATTCTGGAAGCAATCTCCTACTCGTCGGACGCACGCCACGTCAGCCACGGTTATGGCTTGGTAGAGTCCTTCCAACGCTTGGTCGAAGTCGTCCACGGTGTCAAGCGGCGGGTTGTCGATGATGTGCCTGTCTACCACGCGTCCAAACTGGGCCCAGTTTACGCCATGGTAGTCCTTACGCAGGCTTGAAGCAGGAGCCACGTTGCAGTTCAGTCAGCCACCTCCGGTTGGTGGTCGGAGCTGAGTTCGTTCAAGGCTACCGGCTTGGACAAGCCAGTATTTGTCAGAAACAGGTCTAACGTCGAAGGGTTGCCCGCCGGTGAGATGAATGTTGGCTCATTCGAATACCAAACGGAGTACAGCCTATGCTGCGAGTGGTCGAACAGCAGACGACCGTTCTGGTTCTGCCTGTAGTTACGCCAGGCCTCATGGCGAGCATTTAGATCTCCTTCAACTACGCAACGGGAACCGGTACGGGTGATGGTGGACAGGTCCTTCTTGAATTTAGCCGCTAGTCCACTGCTGGCGGCACACTGTCGAGGGCAGTAGACGGCGATGAACTGGACGTATCCAGTCGACGACTCCACCTCCACACCAAGGGCCTCGATGATAGAGGTGCGGATATGGGACAGACTGAAAAGGAGCTGGTACGATCAAGCCGAATGATGGCAACCAGCAACTGCCGCCGGACTTGAGGTGGGTCTCGTGTTCAACGGGCGTTAGTTGGAGGGAAGCGGTGCACTCGCGGTTGCTGGTTGGTTCGAAGAGGCGGAAAATCGCCTGACCCGAAAGTCGGGGACTTATTTTTCTTACGTCCTGGTAGCCCTAATAAACAAATATCATTGACGAACAATAACCACGTCGTTAAGCAAAATAACCTTTCGGATACGCTTGAACTCCTCGCGTTTGGGGCACTGCCTGTCGGAGCCCTGATGAGCACCGCCACAGTTGACACACTTGATAACCTCCGGACTGTCCTCTGGGCAGTCGGAGGAGGCATGGTTCTTGGTGCAGAAGCTGCAGCGTGGGTTGATGTTACCGTTTCGGGTGCCGTGCCCGAAGTTGAGGCAGCGCTGACATTGCGTTACATCGCGGCGGCCACCACGATAGGACTCCCAACGGATGATGACGTTGAAGAGGGAGCGGATTGCTTGCAACGCATTAAGCGTCACCGTCCCCTTCTTAAAGTGTACCAGGAAAAGGCAATCCTGGTACTTCCTCTGGCTTTCGTTCCTCCTCTTGATCCGGAAGACGGCGATGGGGGCCAGCTTGTACCGGTCTTTAATTTCAGCTTCGATCACCTTCGTTTCGAAATCCGGTAAGCCTCGGATGACTACCTTAAATGGCTTGTCGCCCGGGATGTCATGTGTGAAAAGTTCTACTTTGGAATTCTTCAGGAAAGCCAAAGTTTTGTTGTAGTCCGCTTTGGTGTGGAGGATGATTTTCGTGCCAATCCCGCACAGCTTGTACTCGGCAGCGACGCCGAGGGTTGCCATATCTTGAGCCAGCTTGTCGAGTGGTACTGACTTCACCACCAGAGGTGGGAGTTTCACTTTCGGTCCGTTCTGGCCACCCGTGGCCATGTTTTCAACGGACCCGCCTAAATCACCGACGTCACTACCGTTGATTGCTGTCGCGTCATCCTGGGGACCACTGTTCTTTGGTGTATGGACACTTCCACGGTCGGATGTGTCTCTCTTCGTCTTTTTGCCGCCTTGGGCAGCGTTAGACTGGGTTGCAGGGTTTGAACCCTGGTTCGAGTCTGTCTTCTTCTTCCGCTTCGACACCACACGCGATGCAGCGAAACGACCGCAATCGAGAACAAACGCGTAGCACTACTAAATATCACTGTCACTGAGCGAGCGAATCAAACAACCGACTGTACTGTACTGCACAACGGTTTGATGCAGATTGCAGAATGGTCGGCCCGCTGCTGGACTGCTGGACACCGGTTGAACTGGTGTCTGCGACAGGTTGGAAGGCCGCAGAATATTCTGTTTCACGTCATGGTTCTTCGCTAATCCTGTTCAGATAAATTAGTTCTTTTATTTATTTTCTCTACTGCGCTAAATCAAACGAGTAGAAATAAGAAGGG